CGTTTTCCTGCCCCTCCAACCAGTAAAGGGGCCCCCAGGCTCCCAGCTGCGCTCCACAGTTTGAACAACCTTTTCTCCAATGAGCAGCGGAGATGTAAGCGGGGGCTCACTCCCCCCGTCGGGGGTGAGCTCCAGAAGCAACCGGCCACCAATCAGAGGCCGGAGGTCCTAAGCAGCGTCACCGTTCCAAATCCGCTCCTCTGCTTTAAGAGCAGCTCGTCCCGTAGCTCCCTGCATTTTTCTCCCGCTCAGAGAGACAAGACACGATGGCGAGAACCAAGCAGACCGCTCGTAAGTCCACAGGAGGCAAAGCCCCCAGGAAGCAGCTGGCCACCAAGGCTGCCCGTAAGAGCGCCCCGGCCACCGGCGGCGTGAAGAAGCCCCATCGTTACAGGCCCGGTACCGTGGCTCTCAGAGAGATCCGTCGTTACCAGAAATCCACCGAGCTGCTCATCCGCAAGCTGCCCTTCCAGCGTCTGGTCCGTGAGATCGCTCAGGACTTCAAGACCGACCTGCGCTTCCAGAGCTCCGCTGTCATGGCTCTGCAGGAGGCCAGCGAGGCTTACCTGGTCGGTCTCTTCGAGGACACCAACCTCTGCGCCATCCACGCCAAGAGGGTCACCATCATGCCCAAAGACATCCAGCTGGCCAGAAGGATCCGCGGAGAGAGAGCTTAATCTGTCTACTGCCCCAAAACAACCACAACGGCTCTTTTAAGAGCCACCACATTTTATTTAAGAGAGAAATCCTGTACTGTCTCTAATTTAGAGTGATGACTTTATTATTTCATTCTAGTCCCATGTTGTCAACTATTTCTGTCATACAGTACTGCAACCACAATAGTATTACAATATAGTCATAGATCATGTATATAGAAACCATAAATGTAGAGCACAGACATATTACAAAGTTATTAATATAATACACACTACATGTATGTTACATTGCATTCGTTCTCCACTTAATTATATTTGAATTTGAGGAGTTATTCAAATTAATCACCAGAGTTTATCTGTTAGATAACCAGTACACATTTATATTTAATATGTATTATCTCATAAAGAGACATTGTCAATATTTAATCTCTCATGTTTCCTGAGAGGTGCAGATTTCTAGAATCATGGTTCAGCTAAAAGAACTTCAGTAAATCACCAGCACACACTATGAACTCAGGAATCACTTGGACTTTTTTAAATTTTTACAATAAATGAATGAGTCCCATAAAAACATTGAAGTTGACACCATTACTTCTACAGGCCTTTAAGTTTGGATCACAAACGGGTTCACTGACGACCTCTTGGAATAAATATAACAGTAATTCATAAAGACGGTTAAGATGCTACAGGATGCTCCTCATACAGATCCATATCATTATTAAATACTGATGATAAAATGCTAACTTTAGTTGTAGCCTGTAGATTTGTAAAAAAAAACAAATCTAGTTAAAAAAGTGATTGATGACTGAGGAAACACGCTGTCCAAGGTGCTGAAATGATCTCTGCTGCAGCATGTTGTGTCATTTGATTAGAAACAGAATAAAAAGAGTAAAAATCTTCCTCCATCTCAGTGTGAATGATTTCAAGATGTTGAATGTTTTCTTCACCTCCTGGTCAATGTGGAGCTCAGTCAGTCTAACAGGAGTCACACAGCAGCTGCTGGTCAGAGGGCGGCGCTAATGCTTCATAAAAATGAACAATGACATATTCATTGTGTCCCTGTTAGATAAAGAATGAATATTGATTTAAAGTCTTGGGACGACTTAAGTGGAGGTGAATGTGATTGTTCAAATACATGTCGGAGGTATTCTGAGCGGATTGTTCTGATGACAGTCAGACATCCTGAACATTAAAGTGTGAAAATGAAACAAAATGAACAATAACAGATACATTTTTTCTCATTGAATGAGCTCATTGCTTATGTCCATGTTTAATAAATCAGAAAAGAAGGATGAAGTGGTGCAGGATGATTAAAAGTAAGATGCAGTGATCTGACTGAACAAACTATTTTATAATTGTGAGAGTATTTTAAAGTGTTTGCTATGACATTTTTTTCAATACTTCTAACAATTTTCCTAAACTCTTTACAAAGTTAGCACAACATCCGTCTGTGTAGGCTGTGCAATCAACACATTTCTTGTTGCTTTGACACAAAATGCATACATTTAACACAAATTTAAAATGCTTTAACTTTTTTTACATACAAGTTCAACCAAGACCAAAACAATGGATTTTTACTGCCAAATTTGCCAATCACTTCACACTGTATGTCAGAACAGATAACATCATGTTCTAAACATCATTTATAGATTAAAGTCTAAGTGAATAGCTGTTCATATTGTAGATTGAAACACATATATATATATCCCCTGTATTTTTCTATTGCTACTTGAGAACCACTGATTGAAGTTATGCAAAAATATAATACAGCTGATTCCCATCTAGGAAACACCTCAGAGTTGAGGATCTTTCAATCGCATGCCCATATGTTATACAGTAAAAAAAAAATGACTGATCTTGGGCTGATCTTGTGTGCAAAAGGAACAATATAGAGCAACATAAAGAGAGTAAATACAATGCCTTGAGAGGGAGAGGAAGACGAGTAGCAGAACGAGGGAGAGAAGATTCAAATTTCTCACATGCTCAACAGATGTGCAGTGAAATGTAAAGACTGTTACGCAAGCCATAAAATAAACACTATATCCCCTGTATTTTTTCCATTGCTACTGAGAAACCACTGATTGAAGTTATGCAAAAATATATCACAGCTGATTCCCATCTAGGAAACACACTCAGGAGTTGAGGATCTTTCAATCGCATGCCCATATGTTATACAGTAAAAAAAAATGACTGATCTTGGGCTGATCTTGTGTGCAAAAGGAACAATATAGAGCAACATAAAGAGAGTAAATACAATGCCTCGAGAGGGAGAGGAAGACGAGTAGCAGAACGAGGGAGATGAAGATTCAAAATTTCTCACATGCTCAACAGATGTGCAGTGAAATGTAAAGACTGTTACGCAAGGCCATAAAATAAACATTTAAAAATTACTACAGTGATACACAAACAGTAAATGTAGAAATATACTATAAGATAAAAACTGATAAGTATAAATATTCAAAATGTAGAAAGAGTAAACAGTGTAATGAGTAAAGTGTCAGCACGTAAAGTCTCCAGGGTGTCAAAATGCAGAAGAGTACCAGGACATGGGAGAGGAGGGGGACAACGGCAAGGGAGAGGAATACCTGGATGAGGTAGAGGGAGAGGACTTAGACTGCATGGTGGCGCTCAAAGAAGGACCAGAGCTAGGGTAATGGATGAAATAAGAGCTTCTATCATAGACCCTGTCATAAACCACGGGCTATCATACAGAATGGCTGGTGAACGAGGACAGCCAAATCTCAGCCGGGATTCAGTGGCATCTATTGTCTGGATTTTTAGAGAAACCAACAGGTAGGATATTGCACAATGGCTTCTCCTACAGCAAAGTGTAGATAATTGAACCATGTTTTACCGTAAATGTAATCCTCCGGTTTCTAATATGTAACTGTATTTTGTCTCTCTAAGGATTCAATGTCTACCTCCCTCAGGGGGCAGAGGAAAGCCCCTAAATGAGGAACAGGAACTTGCCATTATCAACATGGTGATTGTTGAGAATGAAAGAAAGATTTACTAAATGTTCCTGTTGGAAGACAACATGTGTTAGTGTCTTGGTGAACATGTTGTGTTGTGTTTGTGTATTATTGTATTTTGAAAATGACTGTTAGAGTTTAGTTTGAAATGGGTTTGGAGCATGAAATTAACTGTTTTGCCAATTGTGTGTTTTAGGTGTGTTGGTGTGTTAAGAGTTTATGAAACTTGTTAAAAGAAAAAAATGGTCATAGCAATTGTAAAAACCTGCAATTCTGACAAAAAAATTATATAAATGAGAGAAAAATAATGGAAATCATTGTTGATTTTTATTACATTTAAACACCAGTGAGGTAGACATCATTAGTTTTTATAACACTTAAGTATCAACCCTTAACTTGTGGAGAGAATAGCTATGACAAAGCTGAGACTGTGACAATCACAACTTACATTTAAAAACTCTTCAGAACATTTAGAAATATTTCAGTGTTCCTCTTTTTACAATATTTTCAACTTTAACTAATGGATACTTTGGTTTATTTTTTTAAATATATAAATATGTAGAAACATATCAATTTAGATGCGTCAATAATAAACTAAATATACATAAACAGTTATAATCATATGAAATGTGTTTGACTCAAGATGAATTGTCCTGCAGTGAATAAGTGATGATGGTCCAGTTATCACGATGCTGTTTACATTACTTGCTGCTATTTATTTATCATACCAAGTCACTTTATCTTGTCATTCTCTTCAAATACCGTCTCAATTCTCAATTCCCCCCAGTTAACTTCAACATTCACTTTTGTACTGTATATACCCCCTGTTTTTATTTATTTATTTTTATTTATCTTATCTATTCTGTTTAATGTGTATTTGAGCTTTCTTGTCTGTGCTGCTGTAACGCCCGAATTTCCCCTCTGGGGATCAATAAAGTACGATCCTATCCTACGATGAATTCAAACTACAGAAACTATCTACATGTCATCAACAGCTTCTAACTGAAGCAGACAAAATAAAACACTTCTTATTATGAATACTCAGTAACCAGGCTGTTCTGGAGAATCTGGAGGATTTTACTGGCAATCTTGTGAATGGTTCAATTAATTTGGTTTCTTTAAAATTTAATTTTATTCTAAATAAAAACAAAAAATGTGAACAGACAACTAACCTCTTTATACTACGTGGTCAATTCATCATCACTGAATGTAAAATTATTTTAAACCTTTAAATCTAATTAACAATAAGAAAACTATAAATACGTTAAACCTGATTCAATATTTATTTGAAGAGGGAAAATGTTAATGCTGTCTAATTTGTATTTTGTTTATTAAACAGCTCGTGCTGCAGCTCCTCGGAGTGATCAACGGTGGTCGCTACTTTCTAAACACTAAAGGACCTCAGACCTCAGCGCCGGTCACATGACTGAAAGCTAAGAATTGCTCAGTGGGTCGCTCAGCCAATCCTGTGAGAGCAACAGCACATGGCTAGTTGCTTCAACACCAAATATAAGCAGCTTTCTGACACTCACTTCGATATCAGTTTTTGAGATCACCACTCAGAAAACATGCCTGAAACCGTGAAAGCGCCCAAGAAGGGCTCAAAGAAAGCCGTCTCTAAGGCCACCAAGACCGGAAAGAAAAGGAGAAAGTCCAGGAAGGAGAGCTATGCCATCTACGTCTACAAAGTCCTGAAGCAGGTCCACCCCGACACCGGTATCTCCTCCAAGGCTATGGGCATCATGAACTCGTTCGTGAGCGACATCTTTGAGCGCATCGCCGGGGAGTCCTCCCGTCTGGCTCAATACAACAAGCGCTCCACCATCACCTCCAGGGAGATCCAGACCGCTGTCCGCCTGCTGCTGCCCGGTGAGCTGGCTAAACACGCTGTGTCTGAGGGCACCAAGGCTGTGACCAAGTACACCAGCTCCAAGTAAACCCGCTGATAACCAGCAACAACAAAACGGTCCTTTTAAGGGCCACACAACACTTCCTGAGAGCTGAAATCCTGATTGTCCTGTTATATCTAATAATTAATATTATATTGGGCTGTTCAAAAGTTTATTGAAATGATCATATTTATGCTATATGATTCACTATACCTCATAGTTATACTCCCCAAGTTATTGATGTTTGAGTATGAATGTATAACACATTTCCAGTTCTCTCCTTAAATGCAACATCAGGAAAGTGAAATGTAGCATCCCCAGCTGTGCTTATTGTAATATCTACATTTCAATAAAGCCTGATTGAAACGAATTCATCAGTCAGGCTACATGTCAATCTGGTCTAAGTCAAATTTGTCTGTTGAAAGTCGTGTTATTCAATGCACTCCCTGATAGTGGTCTGAATTGTGACAAGTTGTATTAACCCAATGACTTCATGCACAGAGCCCTGTCTTGAAATAAAGCCTACATAATGAATCTGACAAAAAGGCATTATAGTCGTTGGCTTAAAATAAGATGAGGAAATTTAGAGATTTCTGAATGTATATACATGGGGTAAATAACTTTTACTAGCTGATCCTAGTGATGGTGGAATGTATTCCTTGTTTGCAGCTTCTGACTGTACTCTAGATATTGTTGCTATACATTGAAACCAGTTTCAGGGTCCGTAGTGTTCCTCCTGTATGGGGATCAGACATGATGCAGCGTCTTTTGTTTGAATTATATGGATTCAAACATTGAAAAGATAAGAGATTATTGATATGGACGTTTTTGGTATCTGAACTCGTTATCTCTATTATCCAATTTCACAGTGAAGATATTACATTCAATTTGTGTTTCTATTATCAGATGCTGGATTTTAGTTGTATCATTACTATACGGAACGACTCTTTATATTTAGTGTGTGGCTCTTAAAAGAGCCTTTGGGTTTCAGTATAAGTGGGTCAGGATCAGGTTTAACCTCCGAAGCCGTACAGAGTGCGTCCCTGTCTCTTCAGAGCGTAAACCACATCCATGGCGGTGACGGTCTTCCTCTTGGCATGCTCGGTGTAGGTGACGGCATCACGGATAACGTTCTCCAGGAAGACCTTCAACACACCACGGGTCTCCTCGTAGATAAGACCAGAGATACGTTTGACTCCACCACGACGAGCCAGACGGCGGATAGCGGGCTTGGTGATTCCCTGGATGTTATCACGGAGGACTTTACGGTGACGCTTAGCGCCTCCTTTACCGAGTCCTTTACCTCCCTTTCCTCTTCCAGACATTTTAGCAGTTAAGTTGATGAGAGCTGAAGAATTCTGAGTTTGAATTCACGTTGTTCTAAATCTAGTCTCTGAGAACCTCATTGAAGTCAGAGGGCTGCTTTCTTCTTCTTCGGTCATGTATTTCAAAAACAAAATCTCATGATTCATTAGCGCCCCCCTCTGATCAGCAGCATGAATCAGGGACAGTGTGACTCCTGTTAGACTGACTGAGCTCCACATGGACCAGGAGGTGAAGAAAACATCCAACATCTTAGAGTGAAATCATTCACACCGAGTTGAAGGAAGATTATCCCTCTTTTTATTCTGTTTTTAAACAAATGACACAACATGCTGCAGCAGGGATCATTTCAGCACCTCGGACAGCGAAGGTTATAAAAAAAGAAAAGAAAAAGATGACTGAATGTTGAAACAAAGATAAATAAAGTATTTTACAACTGAACCAAATAAGGGACACATTATGTTCAAAAGCACAAAATCATCACAAATATAAAAATATGTAGAGAGAGCAGGAATAAGACATAAAACTGAACATAAATAAATCAAAACTTACCCTTTATGTGAGTCTCTGCTGCAACAGACACAAAACACAGAAGTGAATCAGAATCTGTTTTTATTGCCAAGTGCTCTTACACACATAAGGAATTTGTCTTTGTGTATTGGTGCAAAAAACAGTTAACAAAGGAAGCTTTGACATTATTTTATTTTTTTGTCTAATGATGCTTGATAGATGTTTAAGGATTTTAACCATAATTCATTTAATGAGCCATTCCCAGTTTCACTGTACCAGCCTTGTGTACTTAGACTTGAATGGTGTAATCTTTGAGGATCAGGATCATCCAGGAAGCCCTCAGACAATTCCATAAACAGAGTTTGATAGATAACCAGGGAAGTTTCTAACTTTAGTGAGGACGCTCGTTTTGGTGACGAGTCTCACATCTTGTTTGAATGTAAGAATGTGAGTGTAATGATCTACACAGAAACATATCTGCCAATGTGAACCGTCCATCTATGTAGAAGTTATTTTGTTGTTACAATCAGATAAACCAAAAGTTGTTTGTAAATTAGATACCTTTTTATCCTTCTGTTTGATTTCGCTGCTTTGTTTTTATTACTGTGTGTTGTGTTAGTGCTCCGTACCATGTGATATGATCATGAGCCGTATAAATTACTGAAATGAAAGATTGAATAACATTAAAAAAGCATTTAAGACTCAATACACCACATTGTTCCACTAAAACACTGACACACATAATAACACTGTGTGATAATAACTACAGGGCTTGGACTTCTTAGATAGGATAGGATAATACTTTGTTGATCCCCAGAGGGGAAATTCAGACAAGTAGAAGAAGCCCTACCCTGATTAGATAAATATAATTTAAAAAAAGGGAGAATATACGAGGTGAAGTTAACTATGCAGGGAATTAAAACATTATGTGCAGTGAATGGCAAGATAAAGTGACAAGTCATGATTAAAGTGACTTGGTATGATCGATAGCAGCAAGTTATAATAATACAAATAATAATACTTTTATTTGTATAGCACTTTTAAGTCCTTTAAGGCAGAAAATACAAGCAGAGATACAATTAAAACAACAGGCAGAGAGTAAACTAAAAAATCAGACTAATAAAATAAAAATAGGAACAATTACCAAAATCACAGAGAAAAAGCATTTTTTTTAAATAATGTCTTGAGTAGAGATGTAAAACAAGGGACTTAATCTACAAGTCTGATCTCCTCTGGCAGGCTGTTCCAAAGTCTGGAGGCTCTAACAGCAAAGGTCCTGTCCCCTTTAGTTTTTAGCCTGGACTTTGGAACAGCCAGTAGGGCTCTGCCAGAGTATCTCAGACTGCGTCTTGGTTCATAAGGGGTTAAAAGCTCAGAAATGTAAGAAGCGGCCAGCCCATGAAAGTAATTAAAACAATCTTAACATCAATTCTAAAATCAACAGGGAGCCAGTGAAGGGATACTAAAATTGACGCGATATGGGCACATTTGTTTGTTCTTGTTAAAAGCTGGCTGCTGTGTTTTGGATAGTTTGAAGACTGTGGATTGATTTTTTTACTTAGACAGGTGTTTAATGAATTACAGTAATCAAGCCTGGAGGAAATGAAGGCGTGTATGAGTTTCTCCAGATCTTCTTGCGACATGAGGGATTTGACCTTTGCTATATTTCTGAGCTGGTAAAAACAGGACTGCACAACTTTCTTCACTTGCGGCTCATAACACAAGTCCTGGTGAAAAACTACCCCAAAGTCTCTGGTCTGAGGGCTTCACATAATGGGCTTGTTCTCCTAGGTGTGCAGTAATTTGATTTATTTTTGATGAGGGACTGATTACTATGACTTCTGATTTTTGCGTCATTGAGTTGTAGAAAGTTATCCGACATCCATGATTTTATTTCTGAAAGGCACTTGAGGAGAGTAGTTGTATTTGAATGGTCACCAGGTGTAATCGGGAGGTAACGTTGTGTGTCATCGGCATAACAGTGAAAGTTGACATTATATGTACGGATGATGTTACCAAGAGGGAGCATGTAAATTGAAAATAGTGTTGGAGCTAGAACTGAGCCCTGGGGTACCCCATGTACTAACTCTGCTGTTGACGACACTGAGTTGTTTGTCAACAACAAAATGCCTTTCAGCAGAGCAGTTTATTTTTTTTTTGTTTCAAAATAAAACCTCACAATTAATTTAAAAAATATCTGTTTAAAATTGTTTCATATTTCACATTAAAAAAGTTCAATGAGTTTCATATTAATGAACTTTCAAAGATAATCATGACTCACAGTCTATCTGTAAAATCCGTATTGATCTTTTTACCTCAAATATATCACAGAGGAGGAGGAGGAATAACTCTGAATCCAACATGATCAACGAGGAGATCAGCTGAGGAGAATTAGAGATTCATTTAATGTTAATTAATGTAATTAATGTGATGTTATTACTCAGTTGACAGTGATGATTGTTAAACCTATAGACAGAAAACTGTTCTCCACACAAACTCAAACTGATGTGATGTATTCAGTCTCTATCAGCACAGGAATGATTCATTATGTTGTTAGATTATTACATCGTACTATTATAAACCTCTAACTTTGTGTCCTCTTGATGAATTCTATCATTTGGTCTGACCTGGAGATCAAACCCACAACATCATCTGTGAGTCTGTGTGACCTCCTGAGTCTCCGACAGCCTCCGTGTGTTTACCTCCACTGAAAACTCTCCGATTAAAACTAAACACATCAAAGTATAAGGTTAATGTTTGTTTTATTTAAATAACTGATGTCTCTGCTTACACTATCATCCTTTTAAAACTTTCACAGGTCTCATTAAGACACTTTAGGAGCCGAAATGTGTCGGAAAATCCCCGCGTGTTGTCCAAACAGAGCGGGTATCATAGAGGTTTGAAGCCTGCTGTAATGAAATTAAAGAGACCTCGTCCACAAACATGAGCTGAATCTGAAGAGATGAAGGTTTTCTAACTGATGCGGGACGTTTTTTCCGTTTAAACAGATTCTCTGTGTGAGTTTTATCCCCATAAAGTTGAAGATAAAACACAAAGTGTCGCCACATTTCAGACATGAGGAAGAGCGTCTGTGTGGGTTGACTCTTCACGGTTCTCATGTTCCCTATAAATCCCGCCTCCTGTCAGTCTTCTCCACACGTCCAGTGAGAGATCAACATGGCAGAAGAAGCACCAGCAGTAGCAGCGCCGGTGGTGAAAACCCCGAAGAAGAAAGCGGCTCCCAAGCCCAAGTCTGATGGACCCCCCCTCCCGACGCTCATCATCAGCGCTGTGGCTGAGTCCAAAGAGCGCAAAGGTGTGTCCTTATCGGCCGTCAAGAAGGCACTGGCCGCTAAAGGTGTGGATGTGGTCAAGGCTAACAAACGCATCAACGCCGCCGTGGTTAAACTGGTAACAAACGGAACTTTGGCCCAGACTAAAGGCAGTGGTGCCTCCGGATCTTTCAAGCTCGCAAAGAAAGAGCCCAAAGCCGCCAAACCAGCAGCGAAGAAGGTCGCAAAGAAAGCTCCAGCCAAGGCAAAGAAGCCCGCAGCAAAGAAAACTACACCCAAGAAGACTCCAGTCAAGAAAGTAGCAGCAGTTAAGAAGTCACCGAAGAAGGTAGCAGCTAAGAAAACTCCAGTAAAGAAGGCAACCAAAAAGCCTGCTGCAAAGAGTCCCAAG